AAGTGCAGCAATGAATGAATGGAAATCCAAAATCTCTGTAAATGTTCATTGAAATTATTAAAATAAAATAAAAAAATTAAAATTCAGTGACATTGATAACATGCTTCAAATTGAACCACCCTCTCTTTCTAAAGTTGTTCTCCATTAACATAAACTCACTGTCCCCTGTGGTTGAAAAGGTAAATGGTGACGTATGGCCTCTTAGGTGATATATCTTCTGTCAATTTTCTCCACTGAGGTAATCTGGGTTTGCTGTGATGCTGAACCTTGTGCCATTGGGAGCCAACCGCCATACTGGCTGCCCATGGTGCACAGTATTTGGTGGAACTCCCAATTTAAGACAGGTTTGGAAGCAGGAGTGGCATCCACTTCCTAAACCACAAGCCTCTGAAAACTCTATGAACTTAGAGAAACGATGACTATATAGAAAGGCATTTTGTTCATAGGGTCGCTATGAGTCGTGCTTGACTGCAATAACAACAACAACAATATATATAAACAACAACAACTATATATATACACACACACACATATATAACTATATATATACACACACACATAACTATATATATATACACACACACACACACTTACATATACATATATATATATATGTTGTTGTGTATCATTGAGTCAGAACTGACCCATAGTTGATCTTCCGATGGGTTTTTAAAGGCAGTCATTTGCATGGGACGAGACTACCCATCCTTCCATGGAGCAGTTAGGGGTTTCGAACCACCTACCTTTGGGATTGCAGCATAGCTTCTTGCCACTAGGCCACCAGAGCTTCCTTTACACACACACACACACACACACACACATATATATATATATACACACACACACACATATATATACACACACATACACATATATATATCTATATACTCTGGTGTTAATAAACATTTACACAGGAAAGTTAGATTTTTCACTCATTCATTATTATACATTTTCCTCCCTCCCCCTCCTTTCCCCCTCCCCCATTTTCCTTTCCTTTCTTTTCTTTTTTTTTTCATTTTGATTCATTCTTGCACAATTTCCTCCCTCCGCCTCCCTATTTTCAAGAAGCTGATTTCATATTTCTTTTCGATCTTCATACGAATGGTTAAATCACTGGGAAATAGAACCTAAACCCAGCAGTTGAAACCGTACTACTTCTTCAGGCTCCCTGCTAAGACCCCTCTTGTCTTAGCTCCTTGGCTGATTGTAACTCTAATGTGTATCTGAATTCCTTTCTTTCCTCCCCACAGGGAAGTTTGGCACTGGGATCCAGTCCTATTTCTCCTTCCTGCGGTTCCTGGTGTTTCTGAATTTGGTGATCTTTCTCATCATCTTTCTGCTGGTTTTGCTCCCGTTCTTGCTCACCAAATACAAGATCACCAACAGCACTTTTATCTTCATTCCATCCAGAACTGTGGGTGAGTAGAGCTTACCTGACTGTGGGGATGCTCTGTTAGCTTCCCTTTCTAGGAGTGTTTCAGTCTTATAATTATTTCAGTCTGGATGAGCTAGAAGAGGCTGCAGAAACCAGAGATACCCGAACTCTCAGAACATGGCAACCACCAGGTTTATTTTAGTCATAGTACATGTCCATCCAGAGTTGATGGTGGTTTCTTTCCATGTTGTCTACACTCCAGAACCCAAGTAAATAGAGCGACCTTTGGACTGTTGACAGCCACTGTGGTCAAGGACAAATCCTCCCTAGTAGTGGTGGTTAAGCACTTGTCTGTGAACTAAAAGGTTACCTGTTTGAACCCACAGATATTTTTCATAGACAAAAACTATTGCAGTCTGCATCCGTAAAGATGTATTGTTGTTGCTGTTGTTAGGTGACATTGAGTGACTCATAGCGACTCTGTGAACAACAGATCTGAACCCTGTCCTATCCTGTGCCATCTTCACACTTCCTGACACTCTAGAGCCCACTGCAGCAGTCATTGTAACAATCCACCTGGTTGAGGGTCTTCCTCTCCTTCGCCAACCCTCTTGCCCTTCGATGAATCATGTTCCTCTCCAAGGAATAGCCTCTCCTAGCAACATGCCCACCAAAGTTTGTAAGGCAAAGCCTCATCATTCTTGCCTCCAAAGAGCACTCTGGCTATACTTTTCCCAAGAAATGTTGGTGGTCTTGGCCGTCCATGGGATGTTCATTGCTCTTCTCCAACACCACAGCTCAAAGGCATCAATTCTTCTTCTGTCATCCCTATTCATTGCCCAGCTCTCAGATGCATACTTGTTCATTGTCTAGCTCTCAGGTGATCGGAAAAACCATGGACTGAATTAGACATACTGTAGTCCTCAAACTGACATCATTACTCCTCAATAATTTGGAGAGATCCCTCACTACAGACTTCCAGTACAATGTGTCTCCTGATTTCCTGACAGCTGGTACCAAGGTTGTTAATTGTGGATCCAAGTAAGATGACGCTGTTGACAGGTAAAGATGTTTAGTCAGGGAATCCTATGGGGACAATGCTCCTCTGGCCTATAGGGTCACAATGAATCAGAATAGACTCATAGCAATAGTTATGGGTTTTTGGTTGGTTTATTTTTATTGTAGTGCAAAAACATAGTTAAAACTTAAATGATTGGGCATGGTTGTCCTCCAGTAATTACTTACAGAAGCAGGTGACTGGTCGGATTTGACCCACTGTAACCTTTCAATCCCTGAGCTATAGGAAGAAAGTCCCTAGTGGCACAATTAGCTCACCCTCAACTACAAACCTAAAGGTTGCTAGTTTGAACCACCCACTGGCTCTCTGGTATGGAAGAAAGGCCCGAAAATCTGCTTGAGTACAGATGTAAGCCCAGAGAAAATTGTATGATAGATGTTTACAGAATTGACTGAAAAAACTAGTTGCTGTGACAACTTCTGTACAAGCAGATACCTCGTGAGATTTAGTTCTTTGGTTTGGAGATTTAGGGTCATATTTTTATGGGACATCTCAGTTTATTGGTCTCATAATGAGTTTAGCCTTTTTGTTGAACCCCCTATTCAGTGCATAATGCCTGCGGTCTTAAAACCTTGCAAGTGACCATCAAGGCACGCTAGCTGGATCCACAAAGGAAGAAGGTGCAGCGTCAGGAACAGGAGGCTGTTGCTGTGTGTCGTTGCATCAGAGCTGACCCATAGCTGATCCTCCAGTGGGTTTTCTGAGGCAGTGAATCACATGGAACAAGATTGCCCTTCTTTCTCCCAAGGAGCAGCTGGTGGATTCAAACAGCATACCTTTGTGTTGGCAGGGCAACTCCTTATCTCTTGGCCACCAGAGCTCCCGAGGAATAAGAAGGGACAAGGAGGAGGAAATGGAATGTGTGATCTTTGCTTTGTCATGAGATCAGAAGAACTGTAGTGCCCAGTTAACGATTACTGAATATCTCAATGAAATATTTCATACAAGAATCCTGATGAAAAGTGGGACGATACAGGCAGAATTTTAAATTTTGTGGACCCTAGATCTTCAACCTGTTTCAAGCCATGGTCTTTTTAATCACTTGCTAAGCTGCTGAGAGCTGAACAATGAATAAGGATGAGAGAAGAATTGATGCCTTTGAACTGTGGTGTTGGAGAAGAGCACTGAATATCCCATGGATTGTCAAAAGAACAAACAGGGTATAATCCCAGTAGTGGAATTGCTGGGTCAAATGATATCTCTATTTGCAACTTTTTGGAAAAGCACCATACCACCTTCCACAGTGGTTGCACCATTTTACACTCCCACCAACAGTGAATAAGGGTTCCAGTTTCTCCATAACCTCAATGAATAGAAATCCAAAATCTGTGTAAATGTTTATTAAAATTAATAAAATAAAATTTTAAAAAACCAAAAATAAACAGATATGTCTTGGAGAAGGTGCAGCCAGAGTGTTCCTTGGAGGCAAAGATGATGAAGCTTCATCTCACGTACTTTCAACATGTTGCTAGGAAAGGCTACTCCTTGGAGGGGGACATTGTACATGGAAAGGTGGAAGGTCATCAAAAGAGAGGGAGACCCTCAGCCAGGTGGATTGACACAGTGACTGCATAATGGGCTCCAGTATGTCAGAGTGTGTGAGGATGGCACAGGACAGGACAGGACAGAGTTCAGATCTGTTCATAGGATTGCTATGAGTTATATACTCAACTCGACAACACCTAACAACAACAGACTTTTTGAAGCCACAAAGGATGGCTGAATGCCTGAAACCATGTCTCTGAGATTATCTTTAACACTTAAACAAAAAATATCCCCTGAAGTAATTTAAAACCCAAATAGTAATTTAGCTTAACTAGTAAAAAAGGAGAGGAGTATTGAATGTACCATGGACTGCCAAGAAAACAGATTCATCCTGGAGGGGGTTGAACCAAGCAACTCCTTGGAGGCAAGGATTCTGGGGCTTCGTCTGACATACTTTGGGCATGTTGTAAGGAGGGACAGGTTCTTGGAGAGGGACATCATGCTTGGGAGGGTGGAGGGATGGTGCAAGAGGGGAAAACCCTCTATGAGATGGATTGATTCAGTGACTGGGATAATCGGGATGGGTGTGTCAGAGGCAGTGCAACTGGCACAGGATAGAACAGGGTTTAGGGCTGTTGTACATAGGGTCGCTATGAGTCGCAAATGACTCGACGGTGCATAACAACAACAGTAAAAAAAGGCAGTTCTGATGGCTTAGTGTATAAGGAGTTGTGCTGCCAACCCAAAGGCAAGTGTTTCTAATCCACTAGCTGCACCACAGGAGAAAGATGGGCACTTGCCTCCTGTGCAATTTAAAGTTATTGTTGTTGTTGATATGTGCTACCGAGTCACCTGCAACTCATAGCAACCCTGTCTACAACAGCTCTGAAGCCTTCTCTGTCCTGAGCCAGTCTCACCTGACTCTGACACACCTTTCCCCATTGCCCCAGTTACTGTGTCAATCTATCTCATCTGAGGTCTTCTCTCCTGTGCTTTCCACCCTTCCAAGCATGATGTCCTTCACCAAGGACTGGTCCTTCCTGGCCATGTGCCCAAAGTTTGTGAGACAAAGCTTCAAAATCCTTGCCTCCAAGGAGAAATTTAGTTTCACATTCTCCATGACAGACCTATTTGTTCTCCTGGTGGTCCGTGGTATGCTAAATACTCTTCTCCAGCACCACAACTCAAAAGGCATCAGTTCTTCTTCTGTTATCATTAGTCATTATCCAGCTCTCAGATGCATAGTAAATGGTTGAAAAGACCATGGTCTAAATCAGGTGCATGTTAATTCTCAAAATGATAGACATCACTACTCCTCAACAATTTGGAGAAGTCACTGACTGCACACTTTTCCTGTGCAATGCATCTCCTGATCTCCTGACGGCTGGTGCCAAGGGTGTTGTTTATGTATCTAAGTAAGATGAAATCATTGATAGTTTTAGTCTTTACCCCATCTATTATGATTTGTCTCTCAGTCCTGTGGTGGGAATTTTTGTTTGAGAATCTTATACAGAGAGACTAGGAAATGCTTGTTGGGGAAATAGACAGGCATGTGCATGCTATAATTAGGAAAAGTCAGAGCTGAAATTGGCTCTGGGAGGAACTGGTTCAACTCCTTCATTTTAACAAAGAGAGAACTGGAGACCAGAGAAGAAGGGGTTCGTTTCTCCAGTTCAGCAATCTCTGTAATAGTGGCTTTGCAGGTTTCTCACCATGGGTGGAAACTACTTCTACTCCACTGATGTTGGCTGTGCAGACTGTTTGGAAAATCATAGTGTTACTTTGAAGTTTCTTTGTGTGATTGACTTACTCTGTTGCATTCCTGGGGTCTTAAAAGAGAAAAGCCCCCCCACACACACACACATACACACAAAGCCCTGCCCCTTCAGCCAGACCCCCAAAATGAAGTGACATGTGACAGATGTGAGCCCAATTGAAAGCCTGTCATCCGGCCCAATTTAGCCTCAAGCTGACTTAACCTAACCAAATGAATGTGATTGGCAGCCCTGCTATGATGTGCTGTGGGGTCACCTAGAAAGACCCTGTGAACTGCAGGTCTGAATCTCACGCTGTCCTGCGCCTTCCTCACCATCTCAGTCACGCTCAAGGCCATTGTGGTTGTCACTGTGTCAGTCCATCTCGCAGAGAGTCCTTCCCTGAGTGAGAAATCAAATACTGGTGCTTTGACGCACTAAGATGTTGAAGTTGTTTGTTACACAGCAGTAGCTGCTTGATACAGAGGGGAGATGGGCGTGTCCCTGAAACCTTTGTCAAAACATTTCCACAACAACCAAAAAAACCCAACAACCCACCCTTTGGGTTAGAAGTACAACTCCTTACAAAGTATATAACAGAGGCACATTTTTCAACTTTTTTATTAGTTATAGACATATCCTTCTCTGGAAATGTTAACCAACTTCTAATAAAATAAAAATTATTAACTCATAACTATCTAAAATAAGTTAAGACTATATTTATGGTTTTTATTATTATTAATTTTTATTATTAATTTTAATAAAAATTTGCAGAGACTTTGGATTTAAAAAACATTTCTAGGTTGATATCTGAAGGTATTTGCTGAGTAACAATGGCATGAGTATTTGTACACACATGCAAACAGAGATAGTTTTAAATTGTGATTGTTAGGTGCTGTTGAGTTGAGTGTGACTCATAACAATCCTATGAACAACAGATCTAAACCCTGTCCTATTCTGTGCCGTCCTCACACTTCCTGACACACTAAAGCCCATTGCAGCTGTCATTGTGTCAGTCCACCTGGTTGAAGGTCTTTCTTTCCTTCACTGACCCTCTGTCCTTCCAAGCATGACGTCCCTCTCAAAGGAATAGCCTCTCCTAGTAACATGTCCATTGTATGTGAGACAAAGCTTTATCATCCTCCTCCAAGGAACACTCTGGCTATACCTACTCCAAGTCATAGTTGTTTGATCTTTTGACAATTCATGGGATATTCAGTACTTTCCTCCATCACCACAGCTCAAAGACCTCACTTCTTTCATCATTATTCATTGTCCAGCTCTCAAATGCATAGCAAGTGATCAGAAAGGTTTTAAATGGTTCGTTCCCGGGTTTCGGCACAAAAAAAAAAGAAAGGTTTTAAATTAGATGGCTTTAAAATGAGATCATATTTATGTCACATAGCAGTCACATAGCCCAAAAGAGAAAATACACAAAGAGAAAATGTGTACTTATTTAACTGAACTCACTGCGCTTGAGTCAGAATTGACTCACAGCTGACCCTCCAGTGGGTTTTCAGAGGCTGTAAATTGTAGAGGAGGAAATTGCCCATCTTTCTCCTGAGGAGCAGCTGATAGGTTCAGACTGCTTGCCTTTGGATTGGCAGAACAACTCCTTACCCGCTGTTGTTTTTGTTTTGTACCATCAAATTGGAACCGACCCATAGCTGACCCTTCCACAAGATTTCAGAGACTATAATAGAATGGGAAGAGATTGCCCATCTTTCTCCAATGGAGCAGCTGTTGGATTTGAACTGCCAGCCTTTGGATTAGCTGCTCAACTCTCTCCTTACCCTCAGGTCATCAGACACATGCATATATAAACAAATAGAATATATGTTGTTGTTATGTACTGTACAGTTGGAACTGACCCATAGGTGACCCTCTGGCAGGTTTTCAGAGGCAGTTGAGGCACAGGAGGAGATTGCCCATCCTTCTCCCTCAGAACAGCTAGTGGCCTTGAACCTCGTGCCTTTGGGATTGCAGCACAGCTTCTTGCTATTAGTCCACCAGGACTCCCTATATATTTATATAAGTAGACAAATTATAGAGGAAAAAAAAAACTAACCCTGAAATCAAAACCATTTCCAGTGATTTTCTTTCTTGTTTTTGTTTCTTGCAGATATACAGTGTAGAATATATCCAGTTAGCAGGTCTGGCCTCATTTACTTCTACAGTTATATCATAGACTTGCTTTCTGGCACTGTAAGTATTGAATGCGATTTTGTATAGTTGAGCTTCAAAATACTGAACATGAGTTAATTTAAAAATTGTTTCTTTATTGTCTGCAGAGAGAGCCAAACAGCAGTTTTGAGGTTTAAGAGGTGGGATTTGTCTGATTTACTGCTTTTGAAAACCTGCTGGAGGCTTAACTATGGGGTCAGTTCTGACCCAATGCTATAACAAGAACAAAAACAAGGATTCTGTTCACTGAGCCCCGGCTAAAATGTACTGGAGCTACGCCTGCTCATTTTCAGTGATCAGCCTTCTCTTAATTCCTGCTACCTACGTACTCCCCTGGACCAATGAAACCAGACTGAGTGTATTTTAATTCTTTGACATTGAAAAATCTTAACATTTCAGAATCTTAGACCACTTTGAGAAGGAGAAAGATGGGCAGTCTCCTCCCGTGTGATTTACAGCCTCTGAAAACCCAGTGGAGGGTGAGCTGCGAGTTAGTTCTGCCTCAATGGCGCACGACAACAGACCGCTTTGAAGGGTGGCCTACTGGTATGGAGTTGTGCTGCCAACCCCAAAACAAGGGGTCCGAGACCATCACTGGTTCAGTGGGAGAAAGTGGGGCACTCTCCTCCCATGTTATATACAGCCTCTGAAAACCCACTGGAAGGTCAGCCATGAGGTGATTTCAACCTGACAGCACGTCACAACAGACTGCTTTGAAGGGGAGCCCATGTCGTGCGGTGGGTAAGTACTGGCCGCACCCCAATAGGTCTATGTTGAAGCCAACCCGCTGCACCCCAGGAGAAAGATGGAGCAGTCTGCTTGTGTAAGGACTTACAGCTTTGGAGATGCTGTGGGGCCGTTCTCCTGTGTTGTATAAGGTCGCTGTGGCCAGAATTGACTGGACAGGAGTTGATTTCGTTTTCATAAACCATTTTGGTAAAACGCGTGACTCTTCTCCCCAGAAATGACTCTCACATACATTTGACACACACCAGCACACACATGCCTGTCATTACCATGTGTACCAATTATGCTCAGATGTGTGTAGACGTGTGCACATGTACATGTTGTTGTTGTGTACTATAGGGCTGGAACCCACCCATAGCTGACCCTCTGGAGGGTTTTCAGAGGCAGTTAATTGCATGGGAGGAGATTGTTCATCTTTTTTCCACAGAGCAGCTGGTGGCCTTGAACCGCGTGCCTTCGGGACTGCAGTGCAACTTTTTGACACTATGACCCCAGAGCTCCCTAAGGAATTACATTCCTGCAGTCCTTTAACACTCAAACTCATTGCCATCGAGTCGTTCGGCTTATAATGACTGTCCATCGGGTTTCCGAGGCCGTAAATGATAACAAGTGGATACTTCCCTCTTTTTCCTTCAGAGCCACTGGTGGGTTTGAACCACTGAAGAAGCACAATCTTTGGGCTAGTCCCACAGCTCACTATAGACAACATCATTGGGCCTCTCTGGAGTCCTGTGGAAGTTTATAAATCTCAGGTCACACTTTGCTCTAAAACAGAGTGAACCCTGTCCTCTTAGCTGACTTTTCAGTGGGTTTTCAGAGTCTGTAAATCACACAGGAGGAAATTGCCCATCTTTCCTCCATGGAGCAGCTACTGGATTCGAATTGCCTGCCTTTAGATTAGCAGCACAACTCCGTACCCACTAGGTCACTGTTGTTGTTAAGTGCCATCGAGTCATAGGAGACTCATAGCGAAGCGACCCTATGAACCAAAGACCTGAACACTCATATAACTTTCATCCTTTCTCCAAGTTCATAGAGTTTCTGAAAGCAAGCTATTACAGAAGTGGATGCCACTCCTGCTTCCAAGCATGTTTTAATCAGGGAGCTCCACCAAACACTGTCCAACATGGGTAACCATTATCACATTTGACAAATCAGTGTCACAGTGTTTAGCATCACAGCAGCCACGAGTTACCTCTGGACAGCAAATTGACAGACCAGGGCTGTTCCACTTATAAGAATGTTTGACCAAAAACAATTAACACCAGGCCTGAGGGTTGCAGATTAAAATCACTCACCTTTGGCTTGGTAGCATCACTTTCTATCCACTAGGCCAACAGAACTCCTCTCTATGACTCACAGCAATTCTATGAACAACAGATCTAAGCCTTGCCCTATCCTATGCCATCTCCACAGTCTGCTACACGCTCGAGCCCCTTGTTACAGTCACCATATCAACTCACCGTGCTGAGGACCTTCTTTTCTTCTCTGACTTACACTTCTCTCAACATGATGTCATTTCCCAAGGACTGGGAACCTCAACTGTTGTAAAGTGACATCAAGTCGTAGATGACTCATAACGACCCTATGAACGGAAGACCTGAATACTTGTATAACTTTCATTGTTTCTCTAAGTTCATAGAGTTTCTGGAGGCAAGTTATTTCAGAAGTGGATGACATTCCTGCTTCCAAACCTGTTTCAATCTGGGAGCTCCACCACACACTGTCCACCATGGGTAACCATTATCACTTTGACACATCAGTGTCACAGTGTTTAGCCTCACACACAGCAACCACTAGTTACCTCTGTACAGCAAATTGGCAGGCCAGGGCTAGTCCACTTAGAAGAATATTTGTCCAAAAACAATTAAAACCAGGCCTGAGAGCCACAGATTAAAATCGCCCACCTTTGACTAGGTCACTAGAGCTCCCTATCCTTCCTCAATTGTTAAGTGCTGTCAAGTTGACTACGACTCATAGTGACCCTATGGACACCAGATCGGAACATTGCCCTATTCTGTGCCGTCTTCCTCATCTCTGATACACTTGAGCCCATTGTTACAATGACCGTGTTAGTCCTTCTTGATGAGGATCTTCCTCTCTTATAGTGACCCTCCACCTTTCCAAGCACGAGGTCCTTCTCGAAGGACTAGCCCCTCCTGACATCATACCCAAAGTGTGTGAAGTGAAGCTTCACCATCTTTGCCTCCAAGCAGCAGCCTGCTTGCACTGTCTCCAGGCCATATGTGCTTATTCTTTTGACAGCCCATGATATACACAGTATCCTAAAACATGATTGTGCGCATGTGCTATTTTCATCCCAATTTTAGTTGCTCTTTGGCCAGGTAAGATTTCAATGTGGAAGGTGGCTCTCTCCTCCTTCTACCGCAGGGTATCCCAACCTTGTCACTGTTGACATTTGGTATTGCTGTTGGGTACCATCAAGTTGACTTTGATTCATATCAACCCCATGAACAATGGATGGAACCCATCCCTATCTTGTGTCGTCCCCATAATCCCCACCATGAGCAAGCCATCGTTGCGATCGCTGTGTCAATCCACATGTCAAACTCAGCTGAGTAATGCCAGTCTCACTTGACATTTGGGGCTGAGAAGTCCTTCTCCACAGGCTTGTCCTATGCCTTGTAGTGTGTTTAACAAAATTCCTGGCCTCTACCCACTGATCCCTGTAGCCTCACCAGCATCAACCCTGAGCTTTTACAGTCAAAAACATATTCAGATGTTGCCAAATATTTTCTTGGTCACAAAATGTCTTTAGTTAAGAAGCATAGCTCTAGATTCTTAAGAAATACAAATACATGTAGTTCCTGGATTGCAAACAAGTTCTTCCCCCCGCCTCCATTATTTTATTTTTAATTGGTTTACTTACAAAATTCAGTATGCATTGCATTTCACACTGTCCTTCATTCACACCGTGTTTCATACAATCATTGTCATGCATTGTGTTTCATAAAATCAATAACCATTGAACCTTGGCCATCATTACCCTGTCTTTTCGCCAATCATTACTTTGTCTTTTTGCCTTGATTGTTCGCTTTTCCTTGACCCCCTCCATCTACCCACCAAACTATACAAACCTCTGGTTTTGCCAAGTAAAATTTTTATGTAAATCAGAATTAAATAGAGTTCCTTTCTAAGAGCAGTTAGTCGTGTATTTGTCTTAGTTTATCATCTATCATGTACCTCTCTGTGCAAAAAAAAAGCAGTAAAGAAACCCTTCCAGATACATTTAAACATCTCCAATATAATAATTTGGTAATTAATAATAATTTTTGGTGCACGTGACAAAGTAGTGCCCATTTGCTATCACAAACCCTTGGGTTAACCTCAGATTTTGAATATAAATTTTAAAGGTGCTGGGTTAAAATTATAGGTTGTACTGGACTTGAATGGTCACATCCTCAGACCTGCCTGCTGTAAAATTTCTCTCTGAAATGTAGCGTAGTAGAACTGTCATGTCGTTTAACTTCCACTTTTTTGGATGATGACGTTGTTGTTATTAGGTGCCATGAAGTTGAATACAACTCATAGCAGCTCTGATATCTGGACTTTCCCTTGTGCTGCACCATAATCACAACCTCTATGGGCTCAAGCCCATTGTTATAGTCACTGTGTCAGTCTATCTTGTTGAGGATCTATCTTCCTTTATTTCGCTGACTTTCTACCCTTCCTAGCATCGTGTCTTTTTTCCCGAGGACTGGTATCTCCTGACAGCATGCCCAAAGTGTGTGAGACTGAGTTTCACCATCCTCACCTCTATGGAGCACCCTAGTTGCACTTTTCTCCATGATAGACTTGTTTAGTTTCTTGACATTTGATGGAATACTCGGCACTCTTCTCCGATACCATTTTTTTCCAGATACACTTTTAAAACTGTCCACTGCATTTGATTTTTTAAAAAGTGCTTTGTGCATCGCTGATCTACCATTTTCTTCAAAACAGCTCTGAGGGCTTGTCAGAGGCGGTGATGAATTTGTTAGTGTTCCCGGCGCAGATAAGAAAACAGAAGCGCAGAAAATGTCCAAAGACTCTGCTAACATCACACAACCAGTATGAACAAAAAATGAGATCAAATCCTAAGAATGCTGTTGGCCCTGTTTCTTTGAATCGCAACCCACCAGAGAAGATGCCATTTGGAGATCTCCACATAATGACATACCGTACCATACATGATCTTCCTTACAAGGACTGTTTAACATAAGAGAGTTTGGTGAACTTGAGTATAGATTTCCAGTAGGGTCAAATGAACTTGGTGATAAGCTTGAGTTCTTAAATATAGGATGTTGTTGTTGTTATGTGCCATGGAGTCACCTGTGACTCATAGCGTCCCTGTGTACAACAGCTCTGAACCCTGCTCTATCCTGAGCCAACCTCACCTCTCTGACACATCTACCCTCATTACTCCAGTCACTGAATCAATACATATGTGAGATATAGATAGATAGATAGATAGATAGATAGATAGATAGATAGATAGATAGATAGATATGAATGATACCATAAGATACATATGGACATATATATCCATATATCCTACTGAGATTCTTCCCCTTTTTCTGTGATCTTCTACAAGAATTATATTCTTCTCCAGGGACTGGCCCCTTCTGATAAATGCCCAAAGTATATGAGATGAAGTCTCATTATCCTAGCTTCTAAGAGCATTCTGTCTACACTTCTTCCAAGAGATCTTTTTCTTTTTGCAGTCCATTGGATAAGCAAAATTCTTAGCCAGCATCACCTTTCAAAGGCATTCATTCTTCAGTCTTCCTTATTCTTGATCCAGCATTTCTATACATACATCGTTGTTGTTATGTACTGTTGAGTCAACTGCAACTCATAGCAACCCTATCAATAGTAGATCTGAACCTTGGTCTATCATTATATCCCACTGCTATTGCCACTCTGTCAATGCATCTTCTTCTCTTATGTTCATCTTCCAAATTTCCCATCATAGTGTCCTTCTCTAAGGACGAACCTCTCCAATCAACATACCCAAAGAATATGAGATGAAATTTCACCATCCTTGCCTCCAAGGACCACTCCGGTTTCACTTTCTCCAGGACAGACTTGTTTATTCTCTTGGCAGTCCATGGTATAGTCAATACTCTTCTCCAACACCACACCCAAAGGCAATGATTCTCCTCCTGTCATTCTTAGTCATTGTCCAACCCTCAGATGCATACCAAGCAATTGAGAAGCCATGTCTTGGATCAGGCACACCTTAGTCTTTAAACTAACATCATTGCTCTTCACTACTCTGTAGAGGTTCCTGACAGCAGATTTTCCCAGTGTACTATGTTCCTGGATTTCTTGACTGCTGGTATCAATTGTGTTGATTATGGATCCCAGTGAGATGAAATCGTTGACAACTTCAGTCATTTCTCCATCTGTCATCATGCTATTGCCTATTAGTCTGATGGTGAAGATTTTTATTTTCTTGATTGAAGGCTGTAGTCCTCTGAGGAAGTTGAAAATACCACTAAGTCCTCACAGTAACATCCTTGCTCTTCAGCACTTTAACAAAGAGTCCTTTGCAATGTCTTTGCCTATTATAATATGTCATTATATTTCTTTTTATTTGAGTGAATATTTGCTTGCAAATCATACTGTTTTTTTATCCAATCATTCAGAGTAATTTTGTTTTATAACATAATTATTCACAATTTAATTTGCTCATTCACACGTATTTCATTCTATAACAATTGAAATTGAGTAATTGAGAAAATTGAGTAAATGAATGTATTACAGTGTCCGATCAAACCCTTGCTGTTTATTGCCTCTCCCTTCACCCAACTTAATGGTTTGGTAATTTTTACTTCTATCTCCCTCTTTTTCCAACACTAGAAACCATCCAACAATGATTCTGTGTGTAAGCTTTCCCTTACCTTTATACAGTAGTGTTCTTATACCATCACAGTCCTTTCATTGACTTAAAGAACTCCTTAAGGGACCCAGAGATCACGCCTCTCCAGTGCCTTGAAGCCACCCAGCAGCTCTTGAGGAGAAAGATGGGCAGTCTCTTCCTGTGTGATTTACAGCCTAGGAAGCCCAGTGGAGGGTGAGCTCTGGGTTGGTTCCATCTTGACATTAATGAGTGTTGAGGGTTTTTTTTTATTTTTAAAAATTTTATTTTATTATTAAAGTGACCTGTGGAGGAAATGGAGAGGGTCGGGGAGACAAGAGAGAACAGTCGGAGAATCAAGAATTCCTTGAGTCCAATGTCAAATGGTGAATGACACAGGGCCAGTGAGGGAACTATCACTCCAGCAGTGCCTTCAAGGTCACCTGCTGGGGACTGTCCTCTCACACCTGTGTATGAACCTCACACCAGGTCTAGGAAGAGGCAGACACAGGAAAGATGGCAGAGTTACCAGGGAGTATGCCTGGTCCTGGTCTTCAGTCACTTGCTATGCACCTGAGAGCTGGCTGGTGAATAAGGATGACATAAGGCTCCATGTTTTCTTTGTCTTGAGGTGTGATCCTTACTAAAGGCTGCTCTTCATAAGTATTGTTTCAAGCCCTCATTAACTTTCATCAAGCAGTGTTGTGTCATCTGCATATCAAAGGTTGTTGATGAGTTTTCCTATAATCCAGATGCCACATTCTTCTTCATCTAGTCCAGTTTTTCAGATTACTTGCTCAGCATTCAGATAGAATGTTGCTGTTGTTGTTGTGTACTTAGAGCCCATAGCTGACCCTCCAGTGGGTTTTCAGACAGTTAATGGCATGGAAAGAGATTGACCATCCTTCTCCCACAGACCAGCTGGCGGCCTCGAACCACATGCTTTCAGAATTGCAACACAACTTCTTGCCACTAAGCCACCAGAGCTCCTCAGATTGAATAGGTATTGAGAAAACATATAACCTTAAGGTACACCTTAGCTGATTAAACAATAATGTATTTTCTGTTCAAACATTTGCTTCTTGGTCTATGTACAGGGTCCACAGGCGCACAGTTAATTGTTCAGGAATCACTTTCTTTACAATGTAGTCCATAATTTCTTTTTCACACAGCTGAATGCCTTTGCAAAGTCATTAAAACACATGGAAGCATCTTTATTCTCTGCATACAGCCAAGATCTTCCTATTGTTAGCTGTGGTATCCCTCATTCCACATCATCTTCTGAATCTAGCTTGAATTTCCGGCAGTTCCTGGTCCAGCTATTTTGTTTTGTTTTCTTCAACAAGATTTTACTTGTGTGTGATATTAAGGATATTAAGGATAATGTTCTATAATTTCTGCTTTATTGTATCACCAGAATGGGCACAAATATGAATCTCATTTGTTTAGTTCTTTTCATTTCTTTAAACAATGGCATTTAGAATATACATTTCATAATTGTTGTTGTTGTTGACTGCCATCAAGTTGAGCACGACTCATAGTGACTCTGTGAACAAAAGACCTACCTAATGTCTTTCCATAACTATCACCATTTCTCCAAGTTCATGGAGTTTCTGGAGGCATATGGTTGAGGAAATGAATGCCACTCCTGCTTCCAAACCTGTTTTACAGCTGGGAGCTCCATCAAACACTGGCCACATTGGGAAACCGTTAGGGTATTTGATACCCCAATGGTACAAGGTTCAGCATCACAGCAACTCAGGTTACTTCCTACGACACATTGACAAAGAGTGATGTACAAAGTGGAGGAGTGTTTCTCCAGATAGAACAGCACTCATTTCACTTAGCAGTGCTTACGTGTCATCAAGTAGAATATGACTGAGACTAAGTTTTACACAGAAGACCTGAACTCAGTTCTATGACTAACATCATTTCTGTACATAACTCTCTTCTATAACTACAATCATTTCTATACATTTAGAGAGTTTGTAGAGTTTAGAGAATATGTAGTTTCCAGAGGTATCTGGTTTAGGAAGTGGATGTCACTCCTGCTTCACAACATTTCATAAGACTTTTGTTAAATTGACCTCTCAGTGTTTTTTAAGCTCTTTTTGATACTACGGAAATGGAACTGGTCTTTGTTCATGTTCAGATTCCTTTTCATGTTTTTTTTCTTGTTGTGTACCGTCGACTGGCATGGGAGGAGATTGCCCCAGCAGAGCATTTGGTGTCCTTTTCAGTATATTTTTAACACTCCGGTTTTTTCAGTGTTATATTCCCTAATCACCAACTGATCATACCCTGTACCTTTGAGACTGTACTGGTCCCTGGGATTTTAATAGTGCTTCATCACGATTGGGTGCTGCTCTCTTGCTCTTGTACAGTGGAATTGCTCATCTAACCTAATGCCCTTGACTCTGTTTCAGGGTTTTTTGGAGGATACCTGCCTATTTTACGGACATTACACGATTGATGGGATACAATTCCAGAACTTCACCTACGGTCTGCCTCTGGCTTATTTGGTAAGCACTGTTGCTTACCTGGCCCTGAGTCTTCTGTGGATAGTAAAAAGGTAAAGCTTGTCTTGTCATTTTCTCTTCACTGTTGTGATGACTGGCGTCTATAGAGATCTGTGGATTCTGGGAACCATTGTCCAGTGGATGAGCAGAGAGTCCAGAGGTGGCCTTCATGGGGAAGGGGTTGTGAGTGTGTGGGAGACTGATGAGATCAGGCGAGAAGGGAGGCCAGGATGTGAGAGCCAAAAGTAGCAACTTGGATGGAGTCTTCAAGCAAACCCATTCACCAACATCATGCCCTGACTTTATCTTTGCTCTGGGGTGGATGATAGTCAGGTTTCTCTTGTTATAAGTGGCAGAACCCAATTCTGGTAACCAGTGAGATGGGAATTGAGTGGTTCAAGGCATATGGAAAGAATACAGTCCAAATTATAGGCAGGATGATTATGTAGCCATATTTAAGAACAGTCCAGAGTAAGGACCCCCACATCTCTGATTTTCTTGTGTTTCACACTATAGTTCATTCACATTCTATTTCATGCAATCATTCCCATGCATTATGGTTTTTATTGTATTATTATAATTGTTTTTTGTTTCTGAAGAGGTACACAGCAAAACATACCCCATGACAGTAGTTATGTTTCTGTGACATTGATGCCATTCCTCCAGATATACATGCGTGCCTACCTTCTTTATCTGGATTGTCTTCTCCTGTGAACACGTTCTTACTGATCTCTGAGGTGCTTATCTGGTCTTTCCATTTGCCCATTTGATCTCGGATGCTGTTACTGTTGATGCTGAGTGCTGCCAAGTCAATTATGATTTCTAGTGACCCTAAGAACAACAGATAAGAACCTGGCCCTGTCCTGCGCCATCCTCACCTCTGTCATGCTGGAGCCCATTGTTGTGGTCACTCTGTTGATCTATCTACCTCTCTTTGTCTGACTCGCTACTTTTCTGATGATGTCTTATTCCAAGGCCAGGCCCCTTTTGCTAATATGCCTAAAGCTTGCGAGGTGAAGTTTCACCATCCTTGCCTCCACGAAGCACCTTGGTTTGCACTTCCTCCAAAACAGTTTTATTTGGCAATCCAGAGTCTATCCAATACTCTTCACAACACCACAATTCAAAAGCATTACTTCTTCTTTGGTCTTCCTTATTCATTGTCCAAGTTTCATATGCATAGGAAACAATGGAAAAATGCCACGGCTTGTGTCAGGTGCACTGGGATCCTGTATAAATAGATCTTCAAAGACCATAATGATGAAGGCAGACCTTGGTTAGATAAGTTAAAATGAGTTGGAATTGACTAGATGGTGCTGGGTTTGGCTTTTGGTCTATTCCCTTTGGTTTTAAGATGATTCGAGGGGAAATTTTTAGCCCAAAGTTTAAAGATGATCCCAGCAACATCATTTCAGGGATTTGTCTCCATTCTAGAAAATCTGGCTTCCGTGGGCTTTGAAATGTCTGTCTTTTTCTCCCACCTGTTTTGATCAAGGTTCTTCTATATGGGAGACTGTTCTTGCTGAAACCTAATGGGTGGGAAAGGGCTAGTTGTAAGAAGAAGTAGGCAAAGAATGGTCCTTTGGTGAGGAAACTGCAAGTGCAAAGGCCCTGAGGCAGAAGCAGAGATTTGTATATTTCTGAATGGAAAGAAAGATAATGGTCCCTGTGGGAAGAAAGGTGACAGAGTTGGATCATTCAGGATTCCTAGGCTAATGATTGGGATTTTATTCCAGCTGTGATGGAAGCTAGTGGATGGATAAAAGGAAATGGTTTTCAATAATGAAATAAATTCACATATATTTGGGATGACCCCACACTTGAGCATGTCAGAATACACAGGTCACACAGCCCTGTCAGCCTTGTAAAGAAAAAATCTTGGGCAAAGTCAGTTTGCAGGCCTCTGTTTTCAATATTTGCCTTCTAAGAATGACTGTGTTTTGGAGTCAGTTCTGTGGAAGGGTTCAAAGTCAACCTGGTTCGGAGTGAGGAGCACTTCCAGAGTTATTGCAACAAAATCTTTGCCGGCTGGGACTTCTGCATCACCAACCAAAGCATGGCAGACCTGAAGCACAGCAGCTTGCAGTACGAGCTCCGAGTGAGTGCCAGCTGCCCCTTCCCTTTGCCTCATCCTTTCCAACCAGGGCATGCGCATTTGCAGCTGACAAAGGTGCTAGGTGGAGCCCAGCCTTCCTGGGGCTTGGCGAGAGTCCCTGTGTAGTTTTCAAGAGAACAGCCCTGGGAGGTGTGAACCACGGGTGCTCACCTGCAAATGTAGAGCTTGATGATTCACACCCAAGGTACTGAAGGTACTGATGGCAGGGCCTTGAACTATTGGCCAGGTGACCTTCCGTTATGATCTCAGCCAAGAAAACCCTATGCATCCGTTGACTTGATAGCAACTAACAACACCTTTTGTGGAGAACGACATACAGGGTCTTTCACCGTAGCCCAAGCGTGATGGCGGGCCTGGGGACTTAGTGGGGCAGAAAGGTTGTTGGGAACCCAACAGTCAATGGTGCTTTCCCCCCAGCTCCCTTCCATTTCTCCACTATTATTTGTCTACTTGATGAGACCTGACATAAATGTTGCTGATATCAGGAGAAAAAAAGACTCAAGAGGGATTTCTGTGATGGTTGGGTGGAGTGGGGAGAACGTAAAACAAAACAGAGTTTTCATATTCATATGAAGAAAAGGAATAATAGCTTCTTAACCACAAAAAAAATAGGAGACAATAAACCAATCCGAATTTTAATAAAGTTGGAAGGGATTGGTCCAGATAAACTAAGCAGTTTATTACATTAAGTGAGAACACATGATAAGGTTCTCCTTTTAACAGAGACTTGCAGGTTGGGTTAGAAAAAAAAATATTCAATCATCCATATGCTGTTCAAAGAAATTACTACATAGAAATAATTCCTTGAGTAGCTTATAGTTGATATTTACTTCCAAGCCTAATTCCAATTGCAGTCTAGGGCCTGCTAGTGGCCTGGTGGTAAGAATCTGCACTGCAATCCCAAAGGCACACAGTTCGAATCTGCCAGCTGCTCTGTGGGAGAAGGAGGGTCAATCTCCTCCCATCTGATTACTGCTTCTGAAAACTGGCTGAGGGGTCAGCGATGGGTCAGTTCTGACTCGATGGGACACCACCACCACAACAACAATTGCAGTCTTAAGTAGGAGGTTCTAGGTTATCTTTAGACATGAGAATTAATTGGATTAGACTAGAAAGGCATCTTTGGGAAAGTGAATAAGGAAAATGTTAAAAGACAGTTGAAGAGGGATATGAAGAATCTCTGATTTCATCTCTGAACATCCGTCCATCCCAGAGCTTACAAAGTTTTCTCTGGTCCTCAGGCAGACCTGGAGGAAGAGCGAATACGGCAGAAGATAGCAGAAAGGACCTCAGAAGAAACGATACGGTTTTACTCTTTACGACTGTTTTTGAACGGCATTGTCCTGGCTGTTTTAGCAGGCTGCTTTTATTCAATCTATAAAGCAACTGTATTTTCCCAAGAACACAAGAAAAAAGTAAGTACCCTGTGAAAAATGAGCTTTTTCTCTTGTTTGGCCTTGCACATCTGTAAAGTAGGTACTGTCATTATTTCTGCTTTACATATGATGATCCAAGTCTGGCTCATATAACAGAAACTGAAAAATCAGAGGTGACACCTCTGGTGGCTTCGTGGTAAGGAATTATACTGTCAACACAAAGGATCTTGGTTCAAATCCACCAGCTACTTTGCAAGAGAAAGATGGGCAGTCTCCTCCTGTGTCATTTACTGCCTCTGAAAACCCATTGGAGGATCAGTTCTGACTTGATGGTACCATCATAAAAAAAATTAAAACATACAGAATTCCTCCCAGAATTCTCAATATGGCAGTTGTTATTATTCTGGTTCTTGAGCCAAATTGACTGGATTTTGTTCCTGACTCTTTTATGTGTTAGGTGGAGCCTCAGTGTACCTAAAATAACAGCAAGTTCTTTTAAAACTTTTTTTTTAAAAAAAAACCTCTTAATTTGGTTTGTTGTTGTTGTCATGTGCCGTTGAGTCGCTTGCGACTCCTAGCGACCCTATGTGTCTACACCCTGTTCTATCCTATGCCAGTCTTATTGTCTGTAACACAGCTACCCCCATTACCCCAGTTACTGAATCGACCCATCTCATCGACAGTCTTCCTCTCTTGTGCTGTCCCTCCACACTCCCAAACATGATGTCTCTCCCCAGGAACCAGTCCCTCCTTGTAACATGTCCAAAGTATGTCAGACAAAGCTTTAGAATCCTTGCCTCCAAGGAGCCTGGTTTCACCCTCTCTAGGATGAACTTGCTTGTTCTCCTAGCAGTCCATGGTATATTCAACACTCTTCTCCGGCACCACACCTCAAAGACACCAATTCTCTTTCTATCATCCCTACTCATTGTCCAGCTCTCTGATGCATAGCAAGCAATTGCGAAGACTATGGCCTGGATCAGGCACACCGTGGTCTTGGTCTCCAGACTAACGTTATTGCTCTTAAGTACTCCGGAGAGGTCCCTGACATCTGACTTTCCCAATGCAATTTGTGTGTGTGTGTGTGTGTCTCTCTCTCTTTTCCCCCCATTCATTCATTGTTGCACTTTTCTCCCCTCCCAACCCTCCCCCATAGTACACTACCCTCTTGGAAAAGTAAAAGAAAAAGTCTTCCCCAGGTCCACTCCACCATGTAGCCTTCGCTCTGGACTCCTGTCATGAGAAAAATACCTAATCACATATCCCTTTAAAACCGTTTTCTCCCTCATCTGCTTCAATGCAGTATACATTATTGAACCCATCTTTCTCAGTCTCCCCCCAACCCCAAGATCAGTCCTGTTTTACAAGTGTTTTTCCTTTTGTGACTGAGCCCATTTTGAATAATATTGCATGAGTTCCTTGTTTTTCAATGCAGCATAGTATTCCATTGTGTGATTATACCACAGCTTCTCTATCCATTCGTTTGTTTATGGGCACTTGGGTTGTTACCAACTCCTTGCCATTGTGAACAAAACCACGATAAACATGGGTGTGCAGCAATTTGTCTCTTGATTTAGTGACTCTTATTTCATAAATGCAGTCACCAGTGGCCCAGGCTCCTTTTATACTTTATATCTGCCATCCTCAGACATGATCTTAGTCTTCTAGACCCTTAGGTGTCCTTAGTGTGCATGGTACAAGATAGCTCACCACCATGTACACATCCTAGCTGGTGGGAAGGAGATTGATTGTTTTAGGCTGAGTTTTCTAGTGAAGCAAAACCAATAAAACTATATATAGATTTACTTCAAGGAAATAGTTCTCACAACTGTAGAGGTCGGCAAATCCCAAGTCCATGGGTCATGTCAGGCTGGAGTTTTCTCCTGACTAGCATACTTCCAGGATGTGATGAACTCAAAACCAGCAAATCAGATAACCGGCTGCTGGCTGTGGAGGCTAATGAATTCATTATTGACAGGTAAGACAGCAAGTCACTGACTCAGTGCAAAGAATCAGAGACCAGATGATGACAAGCTAAATTTAGGATCCTGATTAAGCAGAGAGGTAGGGAACAGTCTCATTCCCGTGAAAATTCCCTTTAACTGATCAGCTTTTTATCTTATTGTTGTTGTTGTTGTGTACCATCGAGTCAGAACTGACCCCTAGCTGACCCTCTCGTGGGTTTTCAGAGGCAGTTAATGGCATGGAAGGAGATTGCCCATCCTTCTCCTTTGGAGCAGCTGGTAGATTTGAACCACATGCCTTTGGGATTCAAGGTAGCATCTTGCCACTAGGCCACCAAAGCTTAGCAGATCTCATTATGGAGGTGATTACATTATATTAGACACCGAGGGTCATCAGGTCTCCTGCAAGTGAATATTTTTAAATTTTTTTATTATTTTGTGTGCGTGTGTACTGTCAAATCAGATCTGACTGGTACAGGAGGAGATTGCCCCTCCTTCTCCAGCAGAATATATGGTGGATTTGAACTGTGCCCCTCTGGGATTGCAGTGCAACTTCTTGACACTAGCCCCCAGAGCTCCCATATAAGTGAATTATTAACCAAACAAGGTGATGTCCAATCAGTTGTAACTCATGGTGACACACCGTCTGTGTCCCTGTCACGGAATAGAACTGCATTCTGCATGATTTTCCTAGCTATGCCCTTTCAGGAAAAGATCACCAGTCCTTGAAAATTGTTTTCCTGTTGATATAGAAGATGTAGAGTTTTCAATAGAACAAGAGGACATAACAATAATAAATATCTATGCACCAAATAAAAGACCAGCAAAATACATAAAACAAACATTAACAAAACTGAAAG